CAGAGTCGAGCTATCAAAAAAGTCTGGAATCGGAATAGAGCTGCCGGAAAAGTCTGGAATTGGAGTAGAGCTGTCAGAAAAGTCTGGAATTGGAGTAGAGCTGTCAGAAAAGTCTGGAATCGGAGTAGAGCTACCAGAAAAGTCTGGAATCGGAGTAGAGCTGCCAGAAAAGTCTGGAATTGGAGTCGTAGCCGAACTGTCAGAAAAGTCTGAAATCGGAGGTCGAACATATTTCCACTCCTGACTCTCCACAGCTCTACTCAAAATAACTCAACAACCAAGCCAAATCACAAACGAACTGTTTTAAATGTTCGAAAAACAAAATAAAACATAAAAAATGCTCCCAAAGGAAGTTTTAAAACATTTGAAATAAAAAAAAAAGTGAAAACCCTATTTTTTTTATCTATCAACATCTACAATATTCTACTGCTTCATTATCATCAACATTTAGTTATTACAAATGACAATTACAAATATGCTTTTAAAAATTTAATTCTTCGATTGTGAAAATTTTGAACAAGTATAAGTCGGAATTGAGCTATCAGAAAAGTTTGGAATCGGAGTCGAGTTGTCAAAAAAGTCTGGAATCGGAGTCGAGTTGCTAGAAAAGTCTGGAATCGGATTTGAGCGATCAGAAAAGTCTAGAATCGGAGTCTAACATTTCACTCCCGACTCCACAGCTCTACTTAGAATAATTCAAGAACTAAGCCAAATTTACAAACGAACTTTTTCTTTAAAATTTAAAAAACAAAATAAAACATAAAAAATATTCCCAAAAAAAGTTTAAGAAGATAAGTAGTAAAAAAAGTTGAACCAAGCCCATTTTTTATATATCAACATCTACAATATTCCAGAGCTTCATTATCTTCATGATGTCGATGACCTAACAATTTTTGAAAAATGTCCTTAAAAAATGCAAAAAAGAAAAAACCTCTAAAAACCATTAATTGTCTTTGAAATGAATTCCAAAATAAAGTTTTTAACATCATATTTCTTATAACCCTTTTTCAAAAAAATAAATAAATAAATAAAAGTCACAACCTGCATTTATAAATTTAACAAAATCTAAAGTAGTAATTAAAATTAATACATAACTTATGAATAAAATAAAATGCAACTAAATATCTGATATATATATATATATATATATATATATANTTCCAAATGTGTATAGTATTGGTGAGAATATTGTTTATTTGTTCTTTAATTAGGGTTTTAAATTTCTGGAAACGAGAGGGGTTAAAAAACTTTTATATCGAACTTGCTCAGGAAGATTAAAATCATGACTGATTTTGTTATGACTCATAACTGCAAATATAAAGAATAAATTATATAAGATAAAAATACAAAGAAAATAAGGAAAGGATATAATCTCGTCTACAGCTCATACGATCATATCCGCAAATTAGAGTGCTTTCTAATATTGAATTAATGTAGCAAAGGAAGAATATATCAATGCAATAGTATTATACTGATATATTTTGATACATATTCTTATATCTTCTCATTTATTCTTATATACTTATATATTCTTAAAATCGAAAGAATCTTTCATTCAAAAGAAAATTCCTATATCATGCAAGACTTTTATTGTAATCATATCATGTAAAACTATAAACATCAACACTTTTTATTGGCTTTAATTTCACTATTTTTATTTTATTTATTAAAAAAAGTGAAAGAAAATTCACAAGCAATATGCTCTTAAAGTAAAAATATCAATCAAAATAAATTTTTAAAAAAATGACTAAAGAGGAAAAAAATTCGAACAATAATAAAAAAATTTATTAAAAAATTCTTTATAAAGGTAATAAAATCCATCAAAATTGCAAAAAGAAGTATGCAATTATCATCAATATCCTAGCTATCAGCAGGGCCCTACACCAAATACAAATCAAAACACACCCATAATAACTTTAGTGTTGGCATCCGCAATCTTTACCACTTATACAAGAGTAATAAGGATTGTTGTAACTAAGCGACCATGGAGGATTGATGTTCGGTTTGAACTGCCGGGTTTTTTTTTTCCGTCTCTTTAGATTGAATATGGAAAAGGAACAGTGGTTGCTGCTTCTTTTGGACACAGTTGAGTGCCCAGAAATGGCTGGCATTTATCTTTACTTTCTTTTGCTTACTTACCATTTCTTATTGCTCTACGTGATTCAGATGATTCAGTTCTATTGTCGAAGCATTCATCTGATTATAAAGATGCCAGATTCTATTTCTTTTTCTTTCGAAAAAAAAATCTTTTTGATAACTCGATTGAGATACACTTGAAGAAAGTAAGGTAGAATAAATGGAACATGAAACGAATGGGCGTATTGCCACTGGTATGTTTTGTCGAGGCGTTCTTCCAAACTTATCGTTTGAGTTTCTTTAAATCTTAGTTTGAATATTAAATTTGAAACATCAAACTCGTAGATCTGAAAATTTAAATTTTCAGTTAGTAGCCAGTGGCCGGTAGACTCTAATAACTTTGTAACTACTTAGTACTGCTTAAGAATGTAGATGTTTCTTCACAATGCATCGCAGTATTAAAATTCGGATATCGCCTAGAGCAAAAATCAAGAGACCTCAACAGAAAAAAATCTTCATAAGGAAAAGACACTGTATCCTAGTTATCGAAATTCGGAAAATATCGTGATCGATTAAGAAATGTAGATGCTTTTTCGCGATATTAAAATTCGGATATCACTTAAAGCAAAAAAACAAGAGACTTCAACAGAAAAAAAAAATTTCAAAACGAGAAGACATTGTATTTGAATGAAGCTTAACCCATTTTCTCAGTGCACAAATATATATTTAATACTGAATAAGAAAAAATTAATACTTTTTTTCCAACCCGCAATAAATAGAAATGCATCGAAAAACTATTTTAAAATATTTTTTAGTAACGGAAGTTTTAAATGCCGAGTAAAAATTTATTTATTTCAAAAAAATTTGAAATATTTTCAAAATGTTAAAATTTATTTTGGTTTTGTCAAATGTTAGGTAAATGGACTACTTTCGACCCCTTGTCAGCAAAAACAAATAAAATGCAAATTCCTTCCTAGTACAGGACAAAATTAATGGCCTCCCCCTGGCGACAAATTATAACAAATGGCGATTAAAAAATTGTCTGCCAGTCGCCACTTTTTCCTTCGAAAATGCCCTCCTTGTGCAATTTATTTATTTATTTATTTTTTATAAATATAGAATTTTACTCTGAATATTTTATAATCATCTAAAAGTTACTTTATTTCACGCTTGCTCTTAAAATTTTTCTTCATTACAGAAAGGAACCTCGTTACGTAATATGATAATATGATAATGTTACGTAATATGATAATGTTACATAATACGTAATAAGATCGTTACGCAATATAGTAGTACAACCGTAATATGGTAAATATTTTGAAACGTGCTTAACATTTTGAGAAAAGAGTATGCCTTACAGTAATATTATCAAAACTATTTTCAATTTTTTAATTTTAAATTTTTGAAAAAGGGGCCACTCTTCAAAATGCTGCAACTGGACACTGATAGTAAAGTTTCCTAATTTTACCCTGTACTCCCTAGTATGCTAACGTAAGATTTTTTTTTCTAATTAGAAGAATTCGGTGCTTTTTATGAGCATGCTCCAGACTCAATTAAAACAATCAAAATTTCTGAAAAATCGGTTTTCTTAAACCTTTAAAATAGATTTGTAAAAACTAGATAATCACCTTACCGTTGTTTTCAAACGTACCAAAGCCCTACACCCCCCTACATACACACTCACTTGACATTCATGTGCAGAAGGAAGTAACGTTGGCATGATTTAAATCACTTGATTTTAATTATGATTTATATCAAGATTTAAATTATTTGATTTTTATAAAAAAAATATTGAGTTAGATCACATAATCGTTCTTTTTTTAAAAAATGAAACATAAATTATGATTTTATGATTTGCATTATGACATGATTTAAATTACTTTATTTTAATCATGATTTATATCGAGATTTAAATTATTTGATTTTTTAAAGAAAATTATTGAGTTACATCACTTAATTGCTTTTTTTTTTAGAAAAAATGAAATATAAATTATGATTTGCAGTTATGGCAAGATTTAAATTACTTGATTTTAATCATGATTTATATCGTGATTTAAATTTCAAGATTTTTTGAAAAAAAAATTATTGAGCTAGATCACTTAACTGTTTTTTCAAAAAAATTAAACATTAAATCAAAAATATTTTAAGCAGAATTGTTAATAAATATATTTTTATGATAGGGATATTTTTAAAGTCTTATTTCAATGATATTTAAGGGTTTTTTTTTTAATAAAATAATAAGAAGGGTTAATGTACGTAAATTATAGTTTAATTGTCAAAATAGACTAAATAAATAAAAGTCTAAGTGGGGAAAAAGTGAGGTGAAATTAATAAATTATTACTATATGTAATTTAATTATTAGCCGTACGTAGATTAATTTGTTGTTTAATAAACATATTTCAATTACTATTTAGATGCAAGTATTTTTAAAACATATTAAATATATAGTTTGTGTTTATAGACAGGGAATTGAAATGTTTTCCGATCTAACTACTTTTTCTTTATTTGATTTCTAACTGACAAATTCGGTCTTCGTCTTTACAAATTCATAAAGTTGTCGAGCTTGAATAAAAATAATCATATTTCACTTACTTATGATTTTGTAAAAATTACTTAACCATTTTAAGTTAGAAAATATCAGTGGCTTTAATCATATTAAAGTTTTATATTATAGTATTGAATTCATATTATTATCATATTATAGTATTGAGCATTATTAAAGCTATGATTGGTTAACGTAAAAAAAAATTAAAATTCTCAAAATTTTTTTTATTTATCTATTTATTTATTCTCTAACCCTGGAAAGAGAACCAATAAAATTTTATTAAAATTCTCTTAATTTGTGAAGACAAATTGCATGTCTTATTGATGGTATTATTATTAGTAGATTTATTAAATTTATTAAAATTATAAAAAAAATTACCTTTTCGCTGTTTCCAAATATACCAAACAAAGGCCCCTGCAAGTCCACCCATGACGATTGTTACGATAATTGTAGCTATTACAATACCGGCAACACTTCCTGAGGTGTAGCATCCATCCTCTTGGGCTTCCGCAACCGCGGAACATCCCAAGATCAAAAATACAACAGAAACGAAAGCCGGCTTGCGATTTCTTGGCAACATGACACCACAAATCACAATCGTTTTCCTTTCAGAATAAAATATCTTCTTTTTGTTAATCCAAATAGTGCAAACGATGGTGTATTGCTTCAGTAATCCCCAGAGATCATAGTAAATTTGAAAATAAAAAATCACTCCAAAAATATTAAAACACAAATAAAAACACAAATCTAATCAAAATGCCACTTATATTCCAAACTATGTCATTCGCGTGACACCTTGAAAACCAAACGATTTATCCAAGAAGAGAAGGTTTGTTTACTACAGCACGTGTGATTATCGTCTGCTAGATTTTAGAATTCCGCGGCCTCTCGGTAGAAGTTTGCTTTTCGAGTGGGGTTGCCATGTTCTACCTGTTCTTGATCGAAGAATGTGAGGTAATAATTTTGGCGACCATTTTTCGAAGCGCAACAGGTGTAGTGGTAATGCTGGGAAAACAAACTCACGTGGTCTGAGAGGAGAAATCAAGAATGTAAACAATTCTTTCTCGTTTTTTTCCTTTGTTTTCTCAATTTTTATTTTTATTCAGATTTTGTCATATCTCATTTGCGGGAAAAATATTTTATTGATAGCTTGAAAAAGCAAGAGAATAATATGCCTGATTTTTAAAATTGGTTATAAAATTATCACAAAAACAACCTACAAATAACGTAATGCACTTGCACGTTTGGGCTTTTTGCGTTGTTAATACGATATTTTCCTACACGAAAAAGAACTTTTTTTAAAAATGAAATAAATATTTAATTCAAACATTACATTTTCAAGTTTTATTTTCAGTAGATAATAAGTTTGTGTTTTTTTTCTTATTATTATTCTGCATACTATTATAGGTTACATATAATTACATTTTATTTCATAACCATCGTTGAACAGCAGACCCAATTTTGAGTTTACGACTACCAATGTTTAACTCAGTAGCCTCGAAATTTTGGACCCATTCTAGAAGAAAATGGAACTCCGAGATCAAACATTAGGATAAATTTTACCTTCGTGGAGGACTTTTTGATGGATCTAACCCGCGTTTGCTATACTTGGGGAGGAAAACCATGAAAGCATCCCACAGTAAGCCTGATGGCGTGGATACTCTAACCCAAGATCCGTCTATCACTGAGGATATTTTACGTCAGTACTGTGGTCGGTGCGAGCCAGGTGCGGAATTCGAATCGACCAGCCATGTATGGGATTTGAACCCGGTTCACCTCATTAAAGAGGCGAGTGCTCTATCCCTTGAGCCACCACGGCTCTCACATATACTTACAGTACTTATTATAGTATTTTATATTTCATTTACACATTAGCTTTAATTGAATGTTTTAAATTCATAATTTGCATACAAACAATCTGGAAGAAGGAAAACACTTTTTTAATTACTTTTGATTTAGTAATCTGATCTTCACCCACTAGGACTCAATCTTAAAGGTTCCAGGGAATGACTTCAAATATGCTAATTAATTATTGCAGACGATATTTCAAGTTATGAAATCTGGCACGAAAACGTAGTTTCTCTGAATCGACACACCTTTTTTCGAAAAGTTTAGATTTCTGACCAGCAAAACATGGGGGCTATCCGCAATCTGGAAAATACCGATCCAACAGTTTGGTCAGAAGAGCACTTCAAAGTTTGGACCCCATAATCTTAATTTTATTTTTTACGTATTTCGCCATAGGGCAAGACATTCCTAAGCGAATCGAAAAGTTTTGTACACAATTATTAAAAAAAATTTTCCAGTGCCCACCTGTGATAGCATTTTCGTCAATCCAGTCATTTACAAGGCAATTTTGTTGGCCTATCTTTCAGGGGCACCATATTAAGTGGGCCAACGTTGCTCCCACAGTGTGGACAGATAGTAGAGAGAAGGAAAGAACATCCATACCTAGCCCGGGATTCGAACAGAGAACCTTTCTGATGCAAGGGCAGTTCCCTAACCCCTACACAGGCCGGTCGGCCACAATTATGTAATTTGTTTACTTAAAGATAATTCTGTGAAAAAAATAATTTTTAATGGTTTATTATCTTTAATAATTTTGTTTAATAATAGGCTAAGATTTTTTTAAGTAATTGTAAGGTATACAAATTTTAAAGAACGTAATTTTCTATGACAAAATACAAATTTTGAACTAAATCAGTCCCTAGAAAACGAATTTCAACTATACAAACTTATTATAGATATTCAGGTTGTTCCGTGTTTTCTTTCATTTTTTCGCAATACACTTAGTTAAGTTTAAAAAATATTATTTAAAATTTGAAAGACGACTGTACTTTACGTGAATTTTAAAAAAACGTGGGTAATATTCGAAGTTTCGATACGTGAAGGTCATGTGATTAGTCCGGAGGCCTTTTTTCGACGATTTTCATCTTTTTTCATATCATCGAGCAAGGACGAATTTCAGAAAAGCCGTACTTTTAAATTTTTATCAAAATCTATTCACTCGATATTTCTTCAATTTTCATATTTTATCCTTTAAAGTTATGTAGTTTCAAATGTTATAAAAATTTGTATACTTTACAAGTCAAACATTTTTTTGACCCTTCCTAAATAAAATGATTAGCAAATTGTGAATAATTGTTAAAAATTGATTTAACATGAAACTATCTTTAACAATAACGAATTTTACAGTCATTAAAAAAAATTTGATTCGCTTGATAGGTTCCCGATTTATGACGAAATATGCAAAAAGTGCAATTTACCAAATGATCTGAACTTCCAGCCGTTTTACTGATTTAACTATTGGAACTGTACTTTTCAGGTTACAGCTTTACCCAATATTTTGAGAATCAAAAACCTAAATAATTCGGGGGAAAAAGCGAATGCGTATTCAGAGAAAGTATATTTTTATCCCTGATTCAGTAGCTTAATTAATCAAATTAATAAGAATAAAAAGGCTGGGATAGCCTGGTCGGTAGGGTGCTGGGCCCACGTTCGATAGTTCGTGGGTTCGAACCCCGCCGGTCGAATACTCCCCGTGTAGTAAAATGGTGACAGATGCATGTTAAATCTGCCGAGTCGCAAAGTCCTCCATGTTCCCATAGCAAATCAATACCTCTGGGGGTACTGGATTGAAGATTGATCATTTTCTGATTCAGGTCAAAATTTCGATCTATGGACGAATGAATGGATGTATGAATAGGTATGCCCTATAAACGGGTGTGACGTATGGGTGTGTCAGAAGTCGAATTCTTAGCCATAGATGGCGCCACTGGAAAACAAGAACAATCGCACCCCCCTGCCTTCACAGGCATACGAGATAATAAGAATAGAGTATAGTCCTTTGAATCCTTAAGTTTGGAACTTTGTAAGTTAAAATCCGATCGTTAGAACAAAATTGTTGTGGGTGATATTTTTTTAATACTGGTTTTACATAATACTGTTTCTATTAGGGTAAATGAAATTGTAATGCGTTTTGACTCAGTATGAGAACATGTGTGTTACACTGTGTATTAAATTGGAAATTTGATGTTTATCGATTCGTACCAGCGTTTCTATTAGTACTTCCAGGAAGGACCACCTCTATGTAGTGACTTCCTCTATTTACGATCACTTTTGGGAGGGACGGAATTTTTTCTAAAGACTTTACGTTGAAGAAAGCCTTTAGGAAGGTCCATCAAAACCTCTCCAAGCGATCGGGAAAACTTCAACAGAATTGCGGAAATGTTCAAATAAGGAAACACGAAACTGAAATCAAAACAAAAATAAAATCATCTAAATTAACAAATATTATTTTTTTTTAAATAATTGCGATCGCTGAAAGGCGATCACAGTTACCCATCCATTGGCAAAAATACAAAAATATTGTTCAAATGATGAAATTCTCTTTTATTCACAACTCAAAATTTTTATGGGATCTCACTGGTCCCATATCTTAAAGATAAACTCACCAATTTGATGCATAACAAAATTAAAAGTGAAAAAATAAATTCTAAAAAAATTATTCAAACAGCAGCGGTGGCCATAGCAACGTATGCAATGACGACGCATGCGCACTGTTTACTATTACTCTTGAACACAGTTGAAAAGTGTGATAACGTCCAAATGAGGTGAACACGCCATCAAACTCAAAACAACACCCATTTTGCCAATGGGTAAAATATTAACGAAGCAAATAAGTATATTTGTGTAACCTCTTTTTGACGATCTGTTTCAGAGATTGTCAAAAAGATCGTCAATCTAATGTTGCAGTCACAGTGCACAAAGACGATGCTTTCAAGGATTTATTTTTAGAGTAGAAAGTTAAATTAGAAAAGACGAAAGAAAAATTAATTTATTTCAGAAAAAATTAAACATCTGAAGGAAACAAACCTCTTCTCCTTTTTTGAAGCTAATTTTTATGATATAAAATTAAATGCGAACGTAAACAAAAAACATAATTGTTTTCATATATTTAAAATAGTTTTATCATTTATAAGTGGTAAATATGATTTTACTGTTTCAACTTCTGCCACACACATACGTCTCAACTCGTTCATAGGGTGATGGACTTACATCCATTCATCCACAGATCGTAATTTTGACCTGAACCAGGGAACGATCAATCTCCAATTCAGTACTCCGAGAAGTAGGATTTTTTATGGGAACACGGAAAACTTTGTGACCTAACAGATTTAATGTGCACCAGTCAACATTTACATCACAGTGAGTCTTCAACCGGCGAAGATCGAACTCACGACCTCTTGAACATGAGCCCAATGCCCTACCAACCTGGCTATCCCGGCATGTAAATTAATACTTGCGGCATTTGTGCATAGTTTTATTTTTTACGATTTCAGTTGGATGCTTGTTCCTGTAAATTTTCCTTGAAATTCGTTTTTCTCAGAATCGACTTTCATGGACATGTACCGTCCCCCCCCCCTCTTGTTCTTCGAATGTGTTCTAGTAAGGTATGTGTCCATTACTAACTGCAGTGAATAGGTAGCCTCAACTTTCCATACTGCCTATTATGTTGTCTAGGAAGGGGAAACTAGATATGAAGTAATATTATTTCAGCTCATGTAATGGATGACACGATAGAGATGTCTAAGCTGACGTCACTTCGCTTACCTGTCCATCGAAAATCCATCAATGAACAATCAGTAACAGATACAACCAATAGGCATGCGTTTCTATTGGGATAGGAATACGATTCATCCAATAGGAATTGGGTAAACGTAATGAGAGTGAAACACAATCAGAAACAGATACAACCAATAGAAATACGTTTCTATTAGGCTATGTGTACGAATCATCCAATAGGAATAGTGCAAACGTAATTGATTGAATGATAGTGGTACACTGATTTAGTTCAGCCTATAACTTGGACATCTCTATATTTTAATAACGTTCCTTGAAAATTTTTGTAAAACCAACTCATTGCG